CATGGTCTATAATGATCATATTAAATCTTTTCCAAGAAGATTAGTATTATATTTTTACATGGGTTTTTTTTTTGGGGGGGGGTGGCTTTTTGAGTTACATTCAGCAATGTTTATGGGTCACTCCTGGCTCTGCACTCAGAAATTACTCCTGGAGGTGCTCAGGGGACCATATAGGATGCCAGGAATTGAACCGGGTCAGTTGTGTGAAAGGCAAATGCCCTACCCACTGTACTATCACATTTTTTTTAAATGAAGCAAGAAAGTTTTTACTGAGTGAAGTTTATCTTTTAGATATAAGGAAAGATAAAGAAGAATATGTGTTCTTGTGAGAACAGATACTTTTAGAGTGGAAAAAGCAGAGAGAGAGTGAGAGATACATTTTCGAGAAAGAACAGAAGCTTGAAGAGCAAGCTCACAGATTTTGGGGGGGTGGGGTGGGGGCAGAGCCCTGGCAATGCCCAAGGATTACTCCTGGCTCTGCAATCCGAAATCACTCCTGGTGATGTTCAAGGGACAATATGGGGTGCCAGGGATTGAACCTGGGTCAGCTGCGTGCAAGAACAAGCAGCCTACCAGCTGTTCCATTGTTTCAACCCTGCATTCACAATTCTGACATTGCTCTCTTTTTTCTCATTTTGACCACACCCATCCTTCTTCGGGGACTGCTTTTTTCTCTGCGCTTGAAAGGCAAATAGAGCTTGATGATGAAAACGTAAAAGTGTTACTAAACTACCAGTGATGTAGTTTAGTAGTAGAGCATATTCACATGTGTGAGGCTCTGGGTTCAGTCCTTGACACGAAAAATAAATATAAGCACCACATACCCTATAGAGCTGGTGTAGTCCCTACTACACAGTAAGTACTTTTTAGCCCTTGTCTTTCTCATAAAGAGAATCACTGAGCCAGGCCTTTTCATACATTTTGTTTTACTGGGATTTTTATCCCCCCCTACCCCCCATAATTGCTTTTCATTTACTCTCTTTTATTTTGTTTTTGGGCCATACTTGGCAGTGCTCAGGGCTTACTTTTGACTCTGTGCTCAGGGATCACTCCTGGCAGTCTTGGGGTGCTGGGGATGAAACTGGGGTTGCCTCATGCAAGGTAAGAACCTTCTCCTTGTACTATCACTCCCTATTCTCCTTTCAAATCATGGTGTTATTACTATTCAACCAGAATTGACCTGGCTGTAAAACTCTCATACAACATCAATCTGGCTTTCTAGCAGAAATGATTCGGGAAATGGCTGAGGCTGTTTATGGGCTTTTGGAAAAAACTAATTAAGGAAAATTATACAGAGAAGGCATCAGTTTTGGTTATTTTCTGAAAAGCCTAGTAAGGGTACTATTCCTAAGATGTACAGTTATTTCTTTAATACTGTATTTATGAAATAGTTATCTGTTCTCAAATAGGTATCAATTACTTAATGGGACTAAAATTCTAAAAGATCTAAAATTGTTTTCTTAAATTTTATTATGTAGAATTAAAGAGAGCTTATATTGGTTTCAGTGTGGAACTTTTTATCTATTGCTTTAACTATTTAGTGGTGTATTTTTAACTTTGTTTTGCATAGACTATATTTACATGGTTAAAAGTAATAATACGTATATGCATTGAAACTGATATATCTAACCACCCTATTTTAATTCTCCCACCCCTCTCACCTTTGATTAAGCACCCTTAAGATCTTTCTTCACTTAGTGAATATAGTTTTCTTTTTCTCTATATTTTTGGAGGTTTTTTTTTTTGGTGGGGGGGCTACACCCTGCTGTGTTCAGGGTTTACATCTGCGGGGTCTTGGGGGATTATACATGATGCTAGGAATTGAACTTGGGCTGGGAAGGCAGTCTACCCATTTTATTATCTGTCCAGTCCACAGCCCAGTTTTCTCATTTTTGTGGTAAAGACTCTCCAGTGTGTACAGCAAATAGATGGAATTATTTATTGGTGGTTACATAGGACATTTCAATCTTCTGTTATATGCAGCTCTTTGTGTGTGTGTGTGTGTGTGTAAATATACATATATATATTTATACACATACAGGAATTTATGTGGTTTGGAGGGAAGAATCATTTTCTTCTCTCTGCCTAAGTTCTTCATTTTGGACTTGTCTAGATAAATTACAGATTGTCAAGAGGAAAACAAAATTTATTTAACACTTGCATGATGCTTAAACTAGCACATGGAGCATACTCAGAATGAGAAATTTAATGAGGGATAATACATAGGCTTGCAAACTGAATAAAATTTTTTTGCAAACTGAACAATATTTCAGACAAGTAAGAAAACAAAAGGACTTGGAGTTTTGAAGATGGCTGGTTGTCGAAAGGTAAATATAGGGAACTAATGAAAGACTTAAACTAGTTTGTAAATAAATAGAGCTAGTTAGTAAGATGGCACTTGATACCATCTGTCTCTGAGTGATAGTATTCACAGTAGTCTCTGGTATGTAGCTTCTGTTCTTCCTAGTAAAGGGAAGGAGTGGGTTAACTTAGAAGTTGATGTCCTGCTTTCAGGAAATAGGAGGAGTGTGATTGGCTTCTTACGGCCTTCAGCTCAAAATAATTCTTATGCCGAATTGGCATATTTTGAGTTGACATTCTGCATTCTGCTTTCCCTTCTGGTAAGTAAAAGACTAGGTCTCCAAACTAAATGCAAACAAAACAAAAACTAAATATGTTTTGTTAGGTAATGCCATGTTCCTGTCTATAAGGATTGTTTTTTGTTCTTCTGTTATCAGTAGTCAAGATTGCTTTTCCAACAACAGATTGCTATCAAACTTTTGGATTTTTAGCAAATGAAAAATGTTATCTTGGTGTTTCATTAAATGCAAACTTTTAATAAAACTTTTTAATTGAGATTTCAGATTCACAGCTATATTTCATCAGTCAAGTTGATTTTTATATGATTAATTTCTTTTGTATATAATCATTTCTATTTCTCTGAACAGCTTAAATCTTTTGCCTATTTGCTTATTTTTTCTCTTTTTTTTTCTTAGTGAATCTCTAAAAATTGGGGTGCTTAATTTTTTTGAGATATGGAGCATTTTTTTTCTAGTTTCGGTTTGCATCATCCAGTTTGCTTTTAGTTTGTTTTGCTGTAACAGAATTTGTGTTTGTTTACATACAGTTATTTCCTCTTTTTCCTGGTACAAAACTTAGCTTAAACAATCCTGTCTTCTAATGTCTTTCAAGATTTTAGAATCTTACATTCCTAAGGCACTTTTTGTACGTCTTCAGTATTTAGTCACAATCCTTATCTCGCCTGTTTTTCTGTAGGCTGTAAACTTCAGAATCTTTGTATTCATCCTTGTAGAACCAGCTAGTCTTTTGACATCATCCTATCATTTTCTGCTCTTTACTACATTTCCTTTGAGGATTGTCTTAGAGAAATAATGACTTATTCCTGTGGCCTCTGTGTGAGGCAGCAGACCTTTGAGGTATTTACTTCTTTGTAATTAAGATTTGGAATGTTTTTGTATGAACAAATGATACTATGCCTATAATCCCTTTATCTTGTTGGATTTGGGGGGGATTGGGATGGGGAACATTGTGTTATTTTGTTTTCCTTTTTGGGGGTATATTCAGAATAACTTTAGAATATACAAAAAAAGAGATGAAGTGAGCATCTACTGATTACCAGCTTCACGTGTTAATAAATTCAGAGTTTTTAAGGTAAGTACTTAAATAACTTGTTGTATGGATTCCTAGATGCAATGTGAAAATGTAGGATAGTCAAAAACAGTTTCTTGTGAATTTTTCGTGAATTTCAGAAACAATGTGAATTTCTCTACGCATGAGAATTAAAACTCCTTAATGTAATCTGTTTCATTAAGTTCCTTCTAAAGAAACCCGATTTAGTTTTAACAACTCTTTAACACAAGGCTTTTAGTTTATTGGAGAGAAATAATTTTTTTTTTAAGCTAAGAAAGTTGTATTTTAAATTGTGTCTCTGGAGTATAGTACAGTGGGTGGGGCGATTTTCTTGCGCATGGATGATATGGTTCCCTGGGCCCCTTGGGCAGTATGGTGTCCTGAGCCCCACTAGAAGTTATTCTTGAGCACAGAGTCAGGAGTAAACCTTGAGCACCTTTGGGTATGGCCCTAAAACCAAAACCAAAACAAACAAACCTAAAGAATAAAAGGTAGACTCATAAAGCTTTTAGGGTCAGGGAGAGTAGCTCAGCTGGTGCATATATGCCTAGTATCCCAGAGACTGAAGTCAGTCTTGATGGGTTTAACTTTGTGATTCCCAAGCACTCACCACATCACAGAGCTGAGAGAAAGGGGTAGGGGTCACTGTAATAAAAAGAAAAAATCTTGTAGGAGGTAATAGTAAACAGGTCGTAGACACTATACATCTTAAGAGAGATTTAGAAAACATTTTCACTTTTTTTTTAAATCATTTTCTTACTGAAAATCTTAGGAGGGGCCAGTACTTTTAATTAATTTTTGCTTTAAAACTTGATCTCATTTTAACCACATGTGGAATTTATATCTTTGATATTAAAATTTCAGCCTATAAACCAGAACCAATTTAATATAGTCACTCTCTTCAGCATATTCAGTAAATGTTTTGTTTATGAGATCTGAAAATCTGTTTCCTATCAGAAATTTCCAGGTTAGACTTAATATCAGGGTCATTGCTTGATAGACTCTATATAGTAATGGTCAAGTATGATTTTATACTTAAGGCAAACAGCCCAGGTTTTTCAAAAGATTCTCTTTAACCATATTACTATATTTTAGTAACAGCTTTGAGTGAAAAGCACAAAATATTCCAGTAACTTAAGCTAAGTCATATACTCTTTATGGTGTATAAATGTATTTACCACCTTGAGAATTGGTATGGAAAATATATCTTTTCGATTTTTCAGAATGCTTGAAGTTATACTTGGTCCCTAAGTATTTCCTTAGCTTTTTGCGGGGTACAGAAAATAGACTGTATTTTATTCTTGGGTGTTTAAAACTGAATGTAATATCTTTCTTTCTGATTTCTGTAGAGCAGGTTGTTGCCCTGGATGCTCAAAATATCGTAGCTGTTTCATGTGGAGAAGCTCACACATTAGCACTAAATGACAAGGGCCAGGTGTATGCTTGGGGTCTCGATTCTGATGGACAACTTGGCCTGCTAGGATCAGAGGAATGTATCAGAGTACCAAGGTAACAAAGGTGACCAAAAAGAGGTCCTGAAATATCTTTTATAATCAATTTGTTATCTGAATTATTCTGCGTATTTGAGTATGTCATAGTTGACACCTAATTACCTTTCTCTAGTTTACTTTCAGAAGGGTCTTGTCTTTAATTTGGGTTGAATACAATTTTTTATATACTCCATATTTCTTCAAAATTATTTATAAAAAAGATTACTGGAGTACGTATTCTTTTAATTTCTTATGAAATTATTTTAAGTGGGTAAAATAATTCAGCTAATTTTTAAAATGTTGATTACATTCTGTCCCTCCTTCCTTCCTCATTCCCCTCCTTTCTCTATTTAAAACAATGATTCAGTCTCATTCTGGTTTTTTTGCATAGCAGTGGCTTCAGTTTAATTTGTTAGCCAATAACACACCACGGAGTTATTTCAGAATTCGGAAATAATGTTTTATCAATGCTATAGTTTTACAGATTTACATAGGGTATTACCATTACTTTAATATTAAAAACTGTTGGGCTAGATAGATGGTACAGAGGTTAAGGTGCTTGCAAGCAAATCCTGGCTTCATCCTTGGTACAGCATTTGGTCCCCCTGAGAACCACCAGGAATAAGCCTTGAGCACATCTGAGTGTGGCCCCATTCCCTAAAAATAAAACTGTGAAGAATAAGAGGCTGGAGCTATAGTACAGCAGGTAGGGGGTTTGCCTTGCACATGGCTGAACTGGGTTCGATCCCAGGCGTCCCTTATGGTCCCCCAAGTGATTTCCGAGTGTGGAGCTGGGAGTAACACCTGAGCATCACCTGATGTGACCCAAAAACAAAGAAGAAGAAGAAGAAGAAGAAGAAAAATAAAATAAAACCGTAAGTGAGCAAATGTGTGTGGACAGGAAGCTGGTAAAAGATGCCCGGGATGGATCAGACAAGCTTCATCATGTGCTTCCCAAATAGTGTAGTTATAGACATTGTGTTTTGACGCCAACGAGATAGCTCAAAGGACTGGAGCTCAAACTCATGTGCAGGACTCCCTGGTTCCTGCATGGTCCGGAAGCATTGAGCACCTTGAAGTAGCCCCCAAGCAGTGCTGAGTGTGACCCAAAACACAAAAGGGAATTTTAAAAACTTTTAAGACTTTTTTTTTCTATTATAGTTTCAGTGACAAGGTTATTTAGTGTTTAGGTTTCTGGTATTGACCTCCAAAGACACTGCACAGCCCAGGATTCTCCACATTCCTATTCCTGCCCCCATTATGTTTCGGTTTTGGTGCATACTGTTACTTCCCTCAGCACCACCCATGTGCTCAACACCTTCCCCTCTTGAGCTGGATTTTTGACGCTGAATAAAGCAGATAAGGTTGTACAGAGGTGGTGCATGAGGAGCAAGAGAAAACCTAGCAATAGAGGGACTCAAGGCTCGCGCCACTGTAACTTCCGAGGTTATTAGAAGGGGAAATTGTAAAAACAAAAATGTTGAAAGACACAAACCCTGACTTCTAGAGGGTGTCATGAAAGGACTTGAAAGAATTGTCAGAACTGGATACTTCAGCTCTTGATTGAAGTATTCATCTTTGGAAAGCCCTTGGAAGAAGACAGGTGGTGGGTGGTCAGTTCAGTTTTATTGCAGAATATTTATTTGAAAGGATACGTACAGGGAGCACGTTGCAACATTTTCTTGCAATTCAAGTTCCGTGTAATCTCTCTCTCTCTCTCTCTCTCTTTTTCTCCCCCCCCCCCCCCCCCAACACACGCACACTTCACACATGCCTCTCTCTTTTTCCAGTAATAGCATGTGACCTTTCATAAGGCATAAGGGAGAGAGTCCTTGACTTGAGAGAATCCCAGTTGACCTCCCCACAGAACTCACATATAGAACCACTGTGGTGGTACAGAGGTACTTCGGTATAATGAAGAGAGGATAAACTTAGTGTCCTTTCACCTAACCAAACTGAAACTTAGGTTTCTTGTACAAATATTATGATTTAAATGGGGCAACATGAGCTCAGTAATTCCTGAAACAAAATCACTACATGCTACGACAAGTGGCATTAAGCTCAAGGATTCACTGAATGCAATAAATAGGAATGGCTGAGTTAAAAATGAGAGATTGTAAGTGATCTCGGGTGGGTTTTTAGATAAGGGCTTAAATGTTCCAAATACTCGTTGAGAATGGGCCAAGTCCTGAGAGCTGTCCATGAGGAAGAGCAGAGGCGGCTGTGAGCACGTGCAATGCTGCGTCCTCAGCATCTCTTCTCTTCTGGGAAAGGTTTTTCTTGGGTGAAAGAAAACAGATGGGAAAGCCTTTACTCCTTACCTTCCGTACTAATTTGAAGGATTTGTGCGAAAAGAGAGGTTGCAGCTGTGGCCATCAGTTTGAAACCTTGAGACTGAAAATGAATGAATGAATAAATGAATGAATGAAGCCAATATGCTAAAGATTGTGGCGTTAAGATGGGAGTTTGATGAATTTCTGGGCCTCCAAACCAAATATGAAACTGTTTACCTTTGGACTCCCCCTTAACTGAACAGCCAGTCATCTTAAAACTCGTGCTACTAGTACATGATATTATCTGTTTATTAAGCCTGAAAGCTAAGTAGTACCTTCTGTAAAATTTTTCCTTAATCATTTGGAAAAAACTGTTCCATTGTCCTATAGATAAGCTATTATTGTTTATCTCAACTCACTGCCTTTTCAGTTTTCCATGGACTGGTCCGTTGTGATTCACCCCTAGCTTTTTATTGACATTTTCATATTTTTTATAAAGGCCTTTATAATGTTTCAGTAGAACTATGTTTCATGTGGATCACTTCAGTAATGCTGGGCTATGATGAGAAGGCGGTATTCCTGCTAGTGATGTGGCCCTTGTGATTAAATGCTCAGCCTAGCAGTGCGCAAGGACCATTAGAGCTACACTCTGCAGGTCTTGGGCAGGCAGGGAGTGGCAGAGGTAGGGGGCCGGGGGCATATGATACTGCATATTGAAATGAGGACCTTATAATTCTGTTATGTGTTCCACCATTTGAAGTATGTTCTAAGCCTAGAAAAAATACTTATTTGGTTTTTGACAGTGCTAGGACTTACTCCTAGCTCTGCACTCAGGAATTGCTCCTAATGGATTTGGGGAATTATATATAATGCCAGGGATCAAACCTGGGCCGGCCTTCCCTACTGAGCTATCTCTCCAGCACAGAAATAATATTTTTGTGAAAGTCTGCCAGTGATCTTTTTTATTTGTATTGGAGTTCCGAGTCATTTTTAAGATATAGGACTTTTTCAGATGCTTGGAGATGTGATCAAACTTTCACAGACATTTGTTTTTGTTTTGCTGTTTGTTTGTTTTTGCTTTTTGGGTCACACCCCGTGATGTTCAGGAGTTACTTCTGGCTTTGCACTCAGGAGTCACTCCTGGTGGTGCTCAGAGGACCATTTGGGATGCCGGGGATTGAACCCCGGTTGGCCACATGCAAAAGAACTGCTCAACTGCTGTACTATTACTCTGGCCCCATTCACAGACGTTTTGAATAGGAGGAAATTCCAATATTTGTGAACTGTTTTATTAAAAATTGGTATTTAGCTGGAGAAGTGACTCAGTAGTACTTTATATACATATACATACTTTTTTATGTTCTTTATTTTATTTTATTTTTACTCTTTTTTTAAAAATTTTTATTAGTGAGACATCATGAGGTACAGTTGTAGACTTACAATTTTTTGTGCTTAAAAATATGGAACGCTTCACGAATTTGCGTGTCATCCTTGCGCAGGGGCCATGCTAATCTTCTCTGTATCGTTCCAATTTTAGTATATGTACTGCCGAAGCGAGCGCTATACATACTTTATGTGGTTCTGAGTTCAATCCCTGTCACCAGGAAAAAAATACCATTTTATTGCAAAACAGTGTTTTATGACTATCACATAAGTGATTAGAAACGTGAACATTCACATAGAGTATACTTTCTTTTCTTTTGAGGGAAGGAGTGGGGTTTGGGGACCATACTGGCCAGCTCTACTCAGGGCTTGCTCCTGGTTCTGTGCAAAGCTATCACTCCTGGCATTGGTTAGGGGACCATATGTAATGCTGGGGATCAAGGCTTAATTTTGTCTTAGTCTCTGTACTACCTCTCCAGCCTGGGACTGTACTGTCTTTTCTTTTTTTTTCCTTTTTGGGACACACCTGGTGATGCACTGGGGTTACTCCTGGTGGTGCTCGGGAGACCATATGGGATGCTGGTAATCGAACCTAGGTCAGTCGGCTGCGTGCAAGGCAAACGCCCACCCACTGTGCTATCACCCCAGCCCCTGGGGCTGTACTTTCTTGAGAACAAAACCAATAGATAAAAAGTTTATAAAGCTAGTATAGATCACATTAAAATTAAAGGAAATAAATAATAAGGAATAGTTTTATTAATAGTTTGCTAATCTTTTTCTTCTTTTAATTTTGTGAAATTATTTTGGTGGGTTCCAGAGACTATTCTTGGCTCTGTGCTCAGGAGTGACCCCTGGCTGTGGTTGGAGGATCATACATGGTGCTGGTAATCAAACCCGGTTTGCCTGCGTACTAGGCATGGGCCATACCTGTACTATCTCTCCTGCCAATTTCTCTGTTTTTAACATGTTATAATTTCTTCCTGGTAATAGCATCTGCATTTAAGAACATTTTAGATGAAAAAAGGTTTATTAGTAATCAGTAGTGATAAATGCTGTAATAGAAAAGCGAAGGACATTACGAGGATGTAGTACTTTGAAATATTTTTTGGTCTTAAAAGTTGAACTTGATAACTGAAACTGTTAGTTTTTAAATTTTATTTATTTTGATTTTTGCACCATATCTGGTGATGCTCAGGGTTTACTCCAGGGTTCACTCCACGTGGGCTCAGGGAACCACATGGGGTCCTGGGGATTGAAACCAGCTGGACTGCATGCAAGGCAAGTGTCCTACCCTTTGTACCATCTCTCCAGCTCCCAGTTTAAAAACGTATTTAATGCAGTTTATTGGGTAGCATACCTAATATACATAAATATAGTGGCACTAATGCTTGATAGCTTTGGTGCCAGTGTACATATTTGTGTATTTATATATTTTTTTATTCCTATTTTTGATTGCCAGTGTTTGATTTTGCTAATTACAAAAAAAAATGGCATTTTTACTGTGTTCAAAAATTTGAAGGTGTATTATTGGATCTCGCTAACTTGACTCTGCTAACCCATTACACCAAAAACTTTCAGATTTTCTAGTTAAGAACACAATCCCACTAGATAGAAATATTTTTTAATACAGCAGTATGGAATTAGAGTAACTCTCATTTTTCCTGTTCAAAATTTTAATTTTCTGAAGCTGCTTCCTGAAAATCAAGTGTATTGATACTCTGTTCAGAACTTGCTTTGGACTCTCATTTGGCAGAATCAGGTCAGGTGGCAGTATCAGGTAAAGGACAATAAAACATTCTATTGTATATCTTCCCCTCAATCCCATTGTCAAAAAAACGTTTAGAAAAAGAATATCATCAGGTGAAAATATATGTAGGAAAACCTGTAAGGTTAAACAGCTACTTGATTTTTATAATCCTTAAAAAATTAGCCTTTACAGGTGCTGGAGTGATAATACAGCAGGTAGGATGCTTGTCTTGCATGTGGCCAATGCCAGGTTGATTCCCAGCTCCACATATGATCCCCAAGCCCACCAGGAGTGATCCCTTAGTGCAGATCCAGGAGTATGCCCTGAGCACTGCTGGGTGTGGCCCCCAAGCCAAATAAATAAGTTAGCTTTTATAGTTGCATTGTGGTTAAGGAATGATCTGAAGAGAGAGAAAGAGAGAGAGAGAGAGAGAGAGAGAGAATGTGTGTGTGTTTGTATATAATTATAAAAATGAAGAAAACACAGGATGATAATATAACAGTGTATCAGTGATCATAATAAATGTGACAAATAAATTTGATAATAAATGAGCTCAATATCACTTATTGAGATGTGAAATATAACCATAAACATAAGTTAAAAAGCAATAGGTCTCAACAATTTGTAAATTGATAGCACCACATGATAGCAATCCCTATTGGTAACTGATGAAGAATATATATTAAGGTAGACCATACACCGATTTTAGATAAATTAAATCACGTACATTTGTTTTACAACTACATTTCTAAATTTCAAACTTTGCTTAAGTATTGTCCTTTCAAAGTAATTTCTCGTCACACCTCTTAATTTTTTTCACACTTAGATTTTATTTACTGATTTTGGCATAATTTTTGAGAATTAGATTATATAAAAATAACATGAAATTTTATATTGGTAGGAATTATATGTTCAGTAAGTAGCATAAATAAGATTTAAGAACCATTTGTGAAATATAATTAATTAAACCTGATCTCTTTATTTTCTAGGAATATAAAAAGTTTGTCCGATATTCAGATAGTACAAGTTGCATGTGGCTACTATCATTCACTTGCACTTTCTAAAGGTAGGCATCGTTATTTTCTTCCCTATTTTATTCTTAATTCTTGAAACTTGGAGCAGAAAGTTTTCCAACTTCGTTCTTACTACTGTCCCGGCTTTTATTTGTTTGTTTGGATGTTTTTCAGGGGTGGACTCTGGGTCATTAGGGTGTTCAGGCACTACTTTCTCTGTGCTCTGGGGTCGCTCTAGGCACTCCTAGGGGGATTGTATATGGTGCTCGCGATGTAACTGTATTTGGCCATATGTAGTACAAGCATCTTAATCGCCGTACTACCTCACAAACTTGTAGGGCTTCTGAAACATACCTTTTTTATTTTCATATGCATTTTAAAATTAGGTTTTTATTTCTCAAACACAAATAGGAGCCTCTAAGATTTTAACTGAATTTGTATTTTTTATTTTCCTTAATTGAATCATCTTGCGATAGACCATCACAAAACTGTTCATGATTGGGTTTCACTTGTGCAATGTTCCAACACCCTGGAATTGTATTGTTTTTATATATAAATCAGTTTGTGGGAAATATTTATAATATTGAGCTTTTTGTTTTGTTTTGTTTCAGATTTTAATTATATATCCAGGGAGTATGTTAAGTGCTGGGGATCAAACCTATATGACTCCTTTCAGCATGCAAAGCATACGCTCCAGTCCTTTAAGCTATCACCCCTGCCTGGAATATTGTCCTTTGTTAATGAACATACAATATTCCTTCATTTATCTAAATCTTTACACTTTTGTTAATAATAGTGCTTTGTTGTCATGTTCTTTTTTCTTTTGGGACCATACCCAGCAGTGCTCAGGGCTGGCTGACTTTGGGTTCTGCTCAGAGATTACTGGTGGGGCTCAGGGGACCCTATAGGATGCCAGTCATGTACGAGGCAAGCACTACCCTCTGTATTGTTGCTCTGGCCTCAAGTATTTTGTGGCTTCAGGTATTTGAAATTTTTTGTTCGTAGATATTATTTCAAGTTATTTGAAAAAATAGTATCACTGTCATCCTGTTGTTCATCAGTTTCCTTGAGCAGGCACCAGTAACGTCTCCTTTGTCCTCGCCCTGAGATTTTAGAAAGTGCCACATTCGAGGCTTCTCCAGGGTCAGGGAAATGGGACCCATCATGGTTACTGGTTTTTGGCAATATTGAATACATCACAGGGAGTTTGCCAGACTCTGCCATGAGGGCAGGATACTCTCAGTATCCTGCTGGGTTCTCCAGAGTAAGAACTAGATAATAAGATGTCAGGAGCTGGGTTTTATAGTCTCTGGGTCTTTGCCATTGATGGGATTACACGGCACCGGGGGCAGTTGGTGGGTGGAAAAATAGTATGTAGAAGATAAATTGACTTTTTTTTTATCACACCCAGCATTGCACAGGGGTTACTACTGGCTCATGCACTCAGGAATCACTCCTGGTGGTGCTTGGGACTGTATGGGATGCTGGGAATTGAATCCGGGTAAGCCGTGTGCAAGGCAAGCGCCCTACCCGCTGTGGTATCACTCCAGCCCCCTAAATTGATTTTTGTGTCTAATGTTTCTTTAGTCTGTTAAACTGTTCTTTCAAAATTGGGGAAGTTTATAATTTATCCAGTTTTATTTGACCTCTCAGATAAATTTTTTATGAATGAAAACTGAAGGCTAAGCACTGTTAAATATATTTGTTCATGTAACTTCTTATTTTTGTTGTTGTTCATGCAGCTTCTTCATGTGCTGTCTTTGGATGTGGGTTAGCCTGCTATTTGTTTTGTACCATTTTAAAAAACAAATTCCAGTGGCTTAATTGTTATTCAATTTATTCAGTGTCTGTAAATGATGCACGGTGAAGAGCTGGGTTTAAATTGGAACTTAATAGATAGGGATACAGATATTTACAGGGATCGTGCCATCTGAAAGAGGCAGGTATCAATAGACAGTAACAAGGAGAGGATTAGTTTTGATTCAAATCTTGAAAGATAAGTAGGATTTATTTAGAATTTGAAGAATTTTGAGAAATGGCTAGGTTCAGCGCTGAGAATTTGTCCAGATGACAGGTACAGGAAAAGGTATCGAATAAGTATTTTTCGTATTTGAGTGCATAGTAGTATTAAGTAGTTTTCTGTGGATATTTTGAATACGTGGGTCTTGAGGCTACCTCAGCTTGAATAGAAATAAAATTCTGTTGTTACTCTGGATTTTAAGGAATGCTATGAAGGAACTTGCACTTCCTCTAGTTAAAGGAAACCTGGCGTCTTTTTTTGTTTATGTGTCCATCTCCCTCCACTCCTACGTCCCACCCCGCCTCCCCATCCCCTGCGTTATTTTCTTTGTTTGACTGCAAGCTCGGGGCTTTCTCTGGGCTCTTCCATCAGGGCCGGTCCCGGCGGGCTCAGGGACTGTATGTGGTGCCAGGGATTAAACCAGTGCAACGGGTGCAAGGCAGCTGCTTACCCACTGTCCTGCCTCTCCAGCCCTTTCCCCCCAACCCCCGAGCTTGGTAGGTAGGTAGATCCAAGATAAATCGAAACCTTTAAGTTTTAGGATGAAGGCAGTTTTCTTCCTTAGAGGTTTTCTTTTGTTCAGCTTAATACTATATAGGTATCTTCGTGAATTTTTTTGAACTCTATAGATACAATTGGGCACATAGAATGCAAGGGGAAAGTAGTATACTGCCGGCTTATATGCTACTAAAAAATAACATTATTGCATACTGTGGGAATGGACTTTAAAGATAATAGTGTACGGTATTAGGATATGTAACAGGGCTGGAGATCTAGTACAGCAGTTAGGCACTTGTTTACATGTAGCAGACTTGGGTTCGATCCCCAGCACCCAGAGTCCCACCAGGAATGGTCCATGAGCACAACCGGATATGGCCTCAAAACAAAAGCAAAAAGCATGTAACAGGACTACACTTTAATCCGTGAGATCAAAAAGAGCTTCCTGTTGGGAGAGAATAGAAATAATGACAAAGATGAGGGTTAGATTGCGTCCGTGTGAACAGTAAATGTTGTAAGAAGTTGATGTTTTAGAATATAAAGAAAGGAGTGAAGGAGTGAGGGAAGACAGTGGTATAAAACAAGCTCGGAAACATTGGTGGATCCTATAGAGTCTCTTTATAGTCCATACTAAAGTTGTTTATCGCCAAAGCATGGAGAAGGCACTGTCATTTATTTATTTATTTATTTTATTTCAGGTGAGCAGGTTTGGGTTGGTTGTTGTTGTTGTTTGGCAGTGTTAGGCATCAACCCAGGTGTCATGCGTGCAAGACAGATATTTTACTACCGGACCATATTCTTGGCCCTAAATATGCATTTTTATAATGTTTATATAAAAGGTCTGCTATTATGTGCACAGAATATTTTTTTTTATTATTAGCAATTGTTGAATAGTTATCTTTTGGGAAAGGAATTAGAATTCTAATTTTATTTTTTTATTTTGGTTTTTGGGTCATACCTGACTACTCAGAGATCTTTTCTGGTGGGGATTAAGGAACCATATACCAGGGATTGAACTTGTCAGCCGAATACAAGGCAAGCACCTTACCTGCTGTACTATTCTCCAGCAACTGGAGCTCTGATTTTGGAGGGAAATTTACTTTGAAGTTTGGGTTGTTTCATAGTATAAATATTAAAAGTTAACTATAGGTATGTCTGTTTCTAGTTTGGTCCCAGATACGTAATAGAAACTAAAAGATTAAAGTCACAGAAACAGGGTGGCAGTGGGGAAAAAAGTGACAGAGTAATATAAACCAGGTTAGATGATGGAAAGACTTATTTGCCATATTTTATATAGAAAGGAAACTATAGATAAAGCCCTGAGAGATAACGCAGTGAACTGGAGTGCATACTCCACACACAGAAGGCCCAGAATCAATCCCTTAGACTGCATGGTCCCTTAAACACAGCCTGGAGTGACTTTCATCACTGAATCTGGAGTAGCCCCTGGATACCTCTTTGTATAGCCAGAAAAGCTGTATATAATTTGGGTGATAGATTATAAATTGTTATGAATATATATATACAAAAAACAAGTATTGGGACTGGACTGATAATACAGTGGGTACAGCATATGCCATGCATGTGGCCAACCTGGGTTTGTCCCTCTCATCCCATATGGTTCCCTGAGCACCCTCAAGAGTAATTCCTGAGTGCATGAGCCAGGAGTAACACCTGTGCATTGCCAGGTGTCACACACACACACACACACACACACACACACACAAAACAAGTTTTAAAAATGACTATATATGTGACTTTTTGCTGAATTGGTGAAATCATTTATTGAGTTGGGGAATACTGGAAAGAGGTGTAAGTATGGAAGGTAGATTGTAGAGGGTCATGAATAGAGTTCAGGGCACTCGGAAGTGGAAGTGCCTTTGCAACGGTCTAGTATAGACATTAGGTTAATTCTTAAACATAGAGTAGAGGCTTATTGTTCAGGAGTTTGTATTAGTAATATGAAAACATATAATTTTAGTTGATAACTGGAGCCTTAAACTTGGATGAGTACTTCTTGGAAGAAATAAAATAAACATGAGATGAGAATATCAGTGAGAAACTATCCAGTCTTGAGGAGCAAAAGGAAATGAGATGACTCCCAATATGGGATAACTCATTCCATCAGTATAGTCAGAAAAGCTGAAACAATAGAGTATTCTTCCAGTCAGTGTGTATTTCTGATGAAAAATCTGATGGGAGAAAGAATGCCCCAAATAACTTGTAATCTTCGAACAGAAAACTTTATATCTGAACCTGTTTGATTTTATGTTTTGTTTTGTTTCTACAGCGAGTGAAGTCTACTGCTGGGGACAGAATAAATATGGCCAGTTGGGTTTAGGCATTGACTGTATAAAGCAGACTTCGCCACAGCTGATCAAATCCTTACTTGGAATCCCTTTCATGCAAGTTGCAGCAGGAGGAGCCCATAGTTTTGTACTCACACTTTCTGGAGCTATCTTTGGATGGGGACGCAACAAGTTTGGTCAGCTTGGACTTAATGATGAAAATGGTAGGTGTTCACAGTAAGCCTCACAGTGGAGATGTTACTGGTGCCCGCTTGAACAAATCGATGAGCAGCGGGAGGACAGTGCTACAGTGCAGTGCTGCTCTTTTAAAGAACGATGCTCTTTGGAGATGGACAAGAGAAAGTGCAACTCAATCTTCCTAGGGCATGGGAGTGTGGGTGAGAAATTGATTTAAAATTGATTTATTTAGCAGTATATTAGGGGATAGTGAGAAGGCAAAATTACAATCACTTTGTAAAATAAACTATAGAAAATCAATCAGGTAAAAAAAAACTTTGTTGTTAGCTATTTATTGTAACCAAGTTTGATAACTGTGATTTTAATCACCAGTGGTGGAAAGAAGCTTTAAAGTTATTCTGGAAATTAATATGAAGTGCTAATACATTAGTTGTTTAAGGAATATTTTAATAATCTGAGTCATTAAGTTAATTTTTAATTTGAGCTTCATTTTTAACACTGATGTCCTAAAAGAAAGAATTTTTTTAAATAAAAAGTTAATTGAAAGTGGGGTGCCAGGGATCAAATATAGGATCTCCTATATGTGCTGTTTTTGCTAGATCACTAAGCTGTATCTCAGCCCTAAAATAAGTATTTGGAATTTCTTTTTTTTTTTTTTTTTTTTTTTTTTTTGCTTTCTAGCTCACGCCTGGCGATGCTCAGGGGTTAACTCCTGGCTCTGCACTCAGGAATCACTCCTGGCAGTGTTCAGGGGACCATATGGGATGCTGGGAATCAAACCTGGGTCAGCTGCGTGCAAGGCAAATGCCCTACCTGCTGTGCTATTGCTCCAGCCTCAGTATTTGGAATTTCTTAAAAAATATGAAACTGAGACGAGCAGCAGTACAGTGGGTAGGGCGTTTGTCTTGCATGTAGCTGACCCGGGTTCTTCGATCCCAAGCATCCCATATCCCGAGCTCCACCAGGAGTGATTCCTGAGTGCAGAACTAGGAGTAAACCCTGAGCATTGCTGAGTGTGACACCCCCCCCCCCCCAAAAAAAAGCCAGAAAAAGAAAAAGAAACTGCTGAGGCCAAAGCAGGATGAGCACCTTACATGCAACCGACCCAGATTCTATCCCCAGAACTCTGTGATCTCCTGATCCCCATCTCCCTATCAGGAGTCATCCCTAAGTACCATCATGTGTTGCATTTCCCCCTCCCCGTGGTACAAACAAACAGACAAACAAAAAAACTGCTTTAAAAATTTGAAATCTCGGAAATGGAATTTTTCATGACCACTTTGGGTAAAATGCCAGTACTTGAAATAAAATTAACAATGATGATTTAAATGGGCAAAGGTGAGTTGATCTAGTAGCAGCTGTTAATATTTAGCAAATAACACTCAGAAATACTTTTTAAAAACTTTGTTCTACATCTGGAATAATGTAGAACTAGGACCTAAGTTTTTCTACTACAAAAGAGCAAAAAGTATAATTTTCAAATTTTTAGTAGGATCCTGTGTACATTGTTATGAGAGAGAATTCAAGAAGTTATTTGTATCAATGAAATTATACTCCGCTAATACAAACCATATGAAGCCTTGCCTTTTTCTAAAATGGGTGAATCTCTTACATTTCATGGGTGTAGGGGACAACTAGTTTTGCTCAGGGCTTATTCCTACCCCTTTGCTCAGGGATCATTCCTGATGGGCTCAGGATACCGTGTGTGGTGCTGGGTCTTGGGCACGGCAAGCATCCTACCCAGCATCCTATTGCTTTAGCCCCTTATCTTGGATGGATTGGGGTGGCATCATGCTTGAGCAAAGTAAGTCAAAAGGAGACGATCTCACTTTGTATGTGGCATAGAAAGAAAATAATCCAGGGAAGGAAAATGTCAAATTAACACAGAGCCACAAAACTGAGGTTATCAAGAAGGAAGAAGCTATGTTGGAGAGATACTGACACTTTGGGGTGGTTGTGGTATTAGAACATATGCCCCTACAACATGAAGATGGTCACTGTCACTGTCCTCCCGTTGTTCATCGATTTGCTCAAGCGGGCCCAGTAATGTCTCCATCGTGAGACTCGTTACTGTGTTGGGCATATCGAATGCGTCATGGGGAGCTTGCCAGGCTCTGCCGTGCAGGCGAGATACTCTCGGTAGCTTGCCGGGCTCTCCAAGAGGGGCGGAGGAATCGAACTCGGGTCGGCCATGTTGGCTGCATGCAAGGCAAATGCCCTACCCGCTGTGCTATCACTCCAGCCCATGAAGATGGTAGTCTTATATAAAGAAAAGAATAAAACAACATTTACGTGAAGAAACTGTAGCAGTTACTCTAATCTAGCCACTACAACTGCAAGTTTCAAATAAGAACTGCCAAGTAGAACTCAGTCAACTCCCAAACAAACAAAACACGCAAGCACTGTCCTCCCATTGCTCATCGATTTTCTCAAGCGGGCCCAGTAACGTCTCCATTTTGAGACTTGTTCCTGTGTTTGGCATATTGAATACGTCATGGGTAGCTTGCCAGGTTCTCCGAGAGGGGTGGAGGAATTGAACCCAGCTCAGCCCCACTGGCTGTATGCAAGGCAAATGCGCCATCGCTGTCTATTGCTTCAGTCAACTCCCAGAATTATTAAAAAGTTAATATCAATTGAAATTTTGTAATACATTACATGATGTGATATAATGAAATAAGTCAGGTGAAATTGAAATCCCTTGATTTCTGAGTCTTCTGCAAATTGCTGTTTAGTCTCTTAAGCACATTCCTATTTTTTTTTTACTTGTTCTTCATTATAGTAATATGAATCTGGGAATCCAACTACAAAAACAGTTATTTAGCAACTGTTTGCTGAGCTTAGAAAGTTTGAAAGGATACACACATTTAGAAGTTTCGAATTTTAAAAGTACTGTTAACATCTCTTATTGGCATTTTCAGATAGATATGTTCCTAACTTACTGAAGTCATTAAGAACTCAGAAAATAGTTTATATTTGTTGTGGAGAAGACCATACTGCTGCACTTACCAAGGTATTGTAATCCTAAAAAATTTATCTATTCTCATGGTAATTATTTTCAGTAAATATTTTCACTATTTTTACATTAAATCTTGAGTGTTAGTTTCGAAAATAAATTACTACTTGTTGTATTCAAAGCCATTTTCCTTAGGTAGGTGCCTTAAGGTAGTAGAACATGCGCTTGTATATATGAGGTAAAAGTTTGATCTCTAGTAATACATAGTCTCTGTCACTGCAGGCAGAGTCTTTCCTACCTCCGACCACTTCTACTGAGTGTTGTATGCCACTGTCACTGTCACTGTCCTCCCGTTGTTCATCGATTTGCTCAAGCGGGTGCAGTAACGTCTCCATTGGAGACTTTGTTGTTACTGTGTTTGGCATATCGAATACATCATGGGCAGCTTGCCAGGCTCTGCCGTGCAGGCGAGATACTCTTGGTAGCTTGCCGGGCTCTCCGAGAGGGGTGGAGGAATCGAACTTGGGTTGGCCATGTTGGCTGCGTGCAAGGCAAACACCCTACTGCTGTGCTGTCGCTCCAGCCCCAAGTGTTGCATGCATAATTTTAAAAAAAGACACAAAATTCACCTTTAGTTTCAACTTTAATTTTATAAACTGAATTGTGATGTAAAAAATGTGATGTGATGATTGTTCTCTGTTTTAGACCTCTAATGCTAAAGAATTTTACTTTTAATTTTTTAAAGGAAGGTGGTGTGTTTACTTTTGGAGCTGGAGGGTATGGTCAGTTGGGTCATAACTCTACTAGTCATGAAATAAATCCCAGGAAAGTTTTTGAACTTATGGGAAGCATTGTCACTCAGATTGCTTGTGGAAGGTAAGCTATTACATAAAAGAATATTTTGGTCTCTGTAACACAATCATTTAAGATTTTTTTAAGTAGTCTTTTTAAAATTTTCCTCTGTGTGTTTGTATATGTGTGTGTTTGTCCATTTGTACTGAATTCATACAGAATGGGTTCTAGGCTAAGACTCCTTTCCATTGAGTCTCACAAAGTGTGCTGATTTGGGTAGAAAATGATCACATCTTATAAAACAAAATACCTTTCTCTTTGGCTTTTTATTTTTTATAAAATTGTTCGCAATAATTGATTACATTCAATATTCCAACACCAATCCCCCCACCATTACATCTTCACACCACAATATTTCAAATTATTGTACACTAATCCCCAAAGCCTGCCTCCATGGCAAAGCATAATAATTAGTATTGCCTGTTATGAGTAATCTGCTAAAGATGATCCAAAAAGTTTCCTTAGAGGAAAATGAGTGAAGATTCTTGTTTCACCCTGGAGCCATTAAGCCCTTATATAGAGTATGAGATGTTGCACAGCTGCATTCTTGGTTCCAGAAAGTCTAAGATTTTAAATAGGTTGATAAAGCAGGAATTCAGTGGTGACTTGGGAGTCTGGAGGCATCTCTGTGGCATGTTTCTTCCTCTTCTGAGGGTTATTTGTCTTTTTCTGAATCATGGCCATTAAAGAGCTTAAGTGGCACCCAAAGCGGTTCGTAGGTGTAACTGCCAGCTTCTGGCAGCTCTGGGAGATGAGGACGGGTAACCCATGCCCAGCTCTGGGCAAGCTTGGAGATTTCAGTCACAAGTCCCACATGCTTGGTTTTTTCAGCAGATTCACTTATGGATGAGGCTTGTCTGAGCCTGTGGAGATCGGCCATGAGCATGTTGGCAATTGAGTTCTGGAGGTTGTTGGCTGCCAGGGCTTCTTTGGGGGGAAAGGCAGTGGGACTCACCTGCCCCCATCCAGATTGCCCTGAATGAGGCAGCCTGGCATGGGGTCCCGTGGCTTCTCTGCAGTGTGTTGCTCTCTTCCTAGGTTTATTTGTGAGTCTCTGGATCATGGCTGTTAATGAGTTTGAATGGCGCCAAGGGCAGTTTGTAGGTGTAACTGCCAGGTACTGGAAGCGCAAGGAGGTGGGGGATTGGTGTTGGAATATTGAATGTAATCACCCATTCCTGGCTCTGGGCATTTGGCTGCTTCTTTTTTTTTTTTTGCATTTTGGGTCACACCCGGCAATGCACAGGGGTCACTCCTGGCTCTGCGCTCAGGAATTACCCTTGGCAGTGCTCAGGGGACCATATGGGATGCTGGGAATCGAACCCGGGTCGGCCGCGTGCAAGGCAAATGCCCTATCCGCTGTGCTATCGCTCCAGCCCCAACATTTGGCTTCTTTTTTCTAATTTTTTCTTAACATGTTTTAAGATGCAGCTTTGGTTTAGAATGCTTATTGTCTGGCTAAGAGTCTTGTCTTATTCACAATAGTGCCAGTGGTGACATTTATGAGGATTTCTTTTTTATTTTATTTTAATTTTTTAAAAAATTTTTATAAAGTCATTCACAATAGTTTATTACAGTTAATATTCAAACACCAATCCCACCACTGTGCAACTTTCCTCCACCATAAGAGGAACATGTGTGAAGATTGTGTATTTCATCCTGGAGCCATTTAAGCCCTTGTATAAGAGATTGCAAGCATGTGTGTTAAACCCAAACAAATGTGTGCTACTTTTGGTACCTCACTGGGCTAAGGTATAAATAGATCACGTGGCCACAAATGTGGCCGCACGCTCCAGCACATTTTATGTTGCTCTCTTCTGGAAACTTTATTTCTTAGTCTCTAGATCTTGGCCCTTGATGAGATTATATGGCACTGGGGGCAGTTTGTGGGTATGACTGCCAAGCTACTGGAAAGTTAGGGAGCTGGCGATCTCAGTCACTGGTCCCACATATCTGGGTTTTTCTGTAGGTTCCCTTGTAGGTGAGGCTCGTCTGAGCTTGTGGAGCGTGGCCTTGAGCATGTTGGGGTTTTCCTTGCATACAGCAGACCTGGTTTTGCTCCCCACCACCACCTATTGTGAAAGAACCCCCCTTGTAGGGTTGGGTTCTGGAGGTTTTCTGCTGCTGGAGTTTTGGAGTGGGAGGGAGACTCAACCCACCTCCGTCTGAGTGGAGCATTTCTTTTTTAAACATTACTTTAAAAAATGTTATTTCCTTGACACTTAACAGTTGTTCTTTTCTCATAGACTTGACTGTATGTGGCCAAAGGAATAATTTGATATTTTGTAAAAAGGACTGGAGGTTAAATAAGGGTTGGCACTCCTCTCTTTCTTTGTGCTGGTGATTTTCATGAATCACCTGAAGTTAGTGGTTCTGGTTAAAAGTAAGGGCTTTTAAAAAAAGTGCTTATTTTCCTCCTTTCCCTTCCCTCTGTTGCTGTTGTTAAGTCAGGGGTGGGAAGTTCGCGCACACTTGGTGTTCTCTGGGTGAGTTGGGGAGTTGTACATCTGGTTGTGGTGGTCATGTTCTCAGCTTGAGTTGCAATGCTTGTAAACATGTTTGCCAGGGACTGTGCGCTTAACTTGTGCTTATGCACATTCTGATGGTAGTTTTTGCTATCGATGGCACTCCCGGCCCATGTGCTTGAACATCTTAGCTGTGAAGTGTGACGAGGGTGATACCCTTTAGCTGTAGGCTCACATAGATCTAGCTACAGTGCAGAAAGAAATTGCTCATGGTGTGAGGTACCTAAGACAGTGCTTCCAGGGCTGTACTGACCACATATGATAACACTTGGAATTGAACTCGTGGCCTCATGCCTGGAAGGTGGGCGCTTTGGGCACTGAGACATCTCCCAGCCCTTGAAGTGATTTTTAAAAATAACATTGCTTAGAAATCTGGTAGCCTGAAGTAGTGCCAGGAATGTAACTCACAAGTACGCAGCTCATGCTTTACTTGTGTATTCTCGGTGGCTTCATCCTACTGATGTTTGTTGAGGTACTTGGGTGTTTATATTTTTGTTTTATCAAATTGGGAGATTGATGATGATGATGATGATGATGATGATGATGTTTTTAGGTGCTATCACTCCAGTCCAGTAGCACAGTGGATAGGGTGTTTGCCTTGCACGCGACCAGCCCGGCCGACGCAAGTTCAATTCCTTCGCCCCTCTCGGAGAGCCCAGCAAGCTACAGAGAGTATCCTGCCCGCATGGCACAGCCTGGCAAGCTACCCGTGATGTATTCGATATGCCAAACACAAGAAGTTTCACAGTGGAGACATTACTAGGCCTGCTCAAGCAAATCGATGAACAATGGGAGGACAGTGACAGTGATGTTTTCAGGTCACACCTGGAGATACTCAGGGGTTACTCCTAGCTTTGTGCTCAGGAATTAGTTCTGCTGAGCTCGGGGAACCATATGAGCTGCCAGGGATTGAACCGTGTTGGCCGTGTGCAAGGCAATGTCCTACCCACTGTACTATCACTCTTGTCCCGTGTTCTGTAACATTTATGTTACTTTTACTCTAGTTTTCCTGCACAAGTCTGAGTCCATATATTAGGATCAGTTTCTCAGGAAGAAAATTTGTGTAGGTGTGTGTGTTCGTTTATCTGTGTTTGTATCTTCTGATTGGTACAGGATATTTGCTCAATTCTTACCCTGAAACTTTTGCTAGGTTCTCAGATGGTGAGCCTTCATAGACCATTCATAGTTCTAGGCTAGAACTTGACATTGAATGAAGGGAAGAAACATCCTTGCGCCAAGAGCATAGTTAGAGGCTGATTATATTGCCAAATTACTTATTTTAAGTGATAACATCATGTAGTGGACTTTAAAAATTTGGACATTTGTGTGAATTTTCTTTTGTTTTGGTCACACCTGGTTTCTGGCCAGGAGACAATAGGTGGTGGTGGGAGCAAAACCGGGTCTGCTGTATGCAGGGCAAAGCCTTCCCCATTGTACTTTCTCTTCGATCCCCTGTAAGTTTTCCTCTGCCGTGCTTATGCTGCCTGCCTATGTTGTACAGAATTCATTGGGCGTAGTGTAATATTAATCGCATATTTTATATAGAAATTTTAAAGCAATAACGGTTCTGGGACCAGAGAGATAGTACAGTGAGTAGCATACTTACCTTGACATGGCCGATCCAGTTTCAATGCCCAGCATCCCATCGGATCTCCCAAGCACTGCCAGGAGTAATTCCTGAGTGCAGAGCCAGGAGTACCCCTGAGCACAGTCGGGCATGGCCCAAAAACAAAAACAAGAACAAAACAAAAATCAACAATGATTGTTCTGTTTATTAGTTTTTCAGAAAAAATTTATTAGTGAATCACTGTGAGGTACAGCTACAGATTTACATATTTTCGTGCTTGTGTTTCAGTCATACAATGCTCGAGTACCCATCCCTGCACCAGTGCCCACCCTCCACCGCCGACGATCGCGGCATTCCTCCCCACCCCACCCCTGCCTCTGTGGCAGGGCTCCCTTTTATTCTCTCTCCCCCTTTGGGTGTTGTAGTTTGCAGTAGAGGTATTGAGTGGTCATTGTGTTCGATCTATAGTCTACTTTCAGCACGCATCTCCCATCCCAAGCTGGTTCTCCAACCACACGGTTCTGATTATTTTTATAAAGAAGTTATACCTGTTAATATTTGTCTGTTTTTCAAGTTTCAGTTATTTGGATGGAAACATTAAGTCTGATTTTTCTGTTATTTTACTCTAGGCAGCACACTTCTGCTTTTGTTCCTTCATCAGGACGAATTTATTCTTTTGGACTAGGTGGTAATGGGCAGCTAGGAACTGGTTCAACAAGCAACCGGAAAAGTCCTTTCACTGTAAAAGGAAATTGGTTCCCGTATAATGGGCAGTATGTGCCAGGTATTGGTAAGTTTTTTCATATTCAAGCTTTGTTTCATACTTTTAGATTATTGTTAAAATTTAGTCTTAAATTATGTTCGTCTTCAATAGTTTCTGTTTGAAGTTAAGGAATTCCAGGATGCATTTGTAAAAATGAGATACAGAACAGTATCTATTTTTGCTTATGTATGTGCAGTGTTGTAATATACTGGAAATATTTAGTCGCCATGCTCATAATTTTCAAAACCCTTGAAATTTCCTGAGCCATCATAGTAATGGGAAGGAACATCTTTTGTCTCATAGTTCCCCTCAATCCTTGGAATTTCCGGAATGACAGTGGGAGCATCTTTTGTCAAATATTTGTTCTTTTTCCCTCAGTTCCTGGGCCTACCTGAGCTTGCCTCTGGCTTCTGAATTGTGCTGGGGAGTCTTGGAGGAGTGAACCCTAACCTGTGAGATCTGATGTTATGGTCAAGCAGATAACTTGAGTTGAACTGTGTTTGATATAGAACATTCAGTTTGTGTCATAGAATTGCTTAGTCTGGGAAAAACTGCACATATCTAATAATAGTGTCTGATGTGAAGTCTGCTGTCTAGACTATTCCTCAGAATTGTTTGCCCATTTATTGGTAATTGGTTGTCTTTGAGATTTTTTTTTTTTTGGTCTATTAAGGTTTATTCAGTGACAAGCATGTGTAATCATTGACTTTTGAAGAGGGCCCCAAAATTTTTATTATGAATAACCTGCTTTTTTTTTGAATTTCCACATCCCAAGTTGGAAATATAATTTCTTTTTTTCATTTTTGAATCACAGTGAGATAGACACAGTTAAATAAGTTATTAATGATAGGTTTTCGCTCAAGACCAGTCCCTTCACCAGTGTATATTCCCCACCACCAATGTTCCTCCTTTAGGGAAACCTGCATGATCTTTTTTTAAAAAAGTTTTTATTTTAACATTGTGACTTACCAAGTGGGTCCAGCACCAGTCCCACCACCAGTGTGGGGCTCCCTTCTAACAATGTCCCCATTTTCCCACCCTCCACCCCAGTCTGCCCCTTGGCAGGCGCAATCAAATTTACTTCATATATATATATATATATACACACACACATATACATATACATACATATATTTAAACACAAAGGTAAATGGAATTATCAAATCTATATCATTGAGTCAATTTGCGATAATTGTTATCTCACAGTGATGTTGCTAACGTCATTGTCTGAGGATCTACAATGCTGGTTAGTGCTAGCTGAGCCTTCTGTGTTAACTGTTTAGTCTCTTTGGTCTCTTCTACAACTTTCTATTCAGATTTGCTTCATACTGCTGTTTTTTACAACACAAAGGTAAATGGAATTATTAAATCTTTATCATTAAATGTCAATTTGAGATAATAGTTCTCTCTCATACTAAAGTCATTGAGGATCTACTGTACCGGTTAGTGCTAGGTGAGCCTTTTGTGGTATTATTTAGGCTCATTTGTCTTCTATGCAACTTTCTGATCAGATTTGCTGTGATCCTACTGGACTGCCAATACTATGAAATTTTGAGATGTTCAGACATATGCAGCTGTAGATCTGGAAAAATTTGGTGTCTCGGCAGTTTGATGAGGTTCAGTTGTGAAACTAGGCTGTTTCTCATTGGATTGCTATCAGGTGTGGCTGCAGGCAGCTGTGCCTTCAGCCCGAAGGGGACTTTGCCTGCCCCCATTCCAAGAAGTCCCCAGAGCAATCAGCCCAGACGGGTCTGCCTGGGACGACTCCGCGGTATCATGCTCTTTTGGAGAGATGTCAGTCACTCTTTTCTACTTAAAAACTTAAAATATAATTTTAAAGATATATAAATATGTTCAGGCTGGAGCAATGGCACAGCGGGTAGGGCATTTGCCTTGCATGCAACCAACCCGGGTTCGATTCCTTCATCCCTCTCAGAGAGCCTGGCAAGCTACCGAGAGTATCCCGACCACATGGCAGAGCCTGGCAAGCGCCCCATGGCATATTCGATATGCCAAAAACAGTAACAAGTCTCACAATGGAGACGTTATTATGCCCACTCAAGCAAATCGATGAGCAACGGGAGGATAGTTCTACAGTGCTATAAATATGTTCATAATTCATATATGGTATAATAATTGAAAAGGCTATTTCAGAAAAGGTCAGGATACAGACTATTTTTTTCTTGTTTTTGTTTGATTTTTGTGCTTAGAATATGATGTCATTTCCTCCCAGTTACTCATAGGTTTGGAACATGGATTTATTTAGTAGCACTGTGTTGCTCTTTATTTATTTATTTTTCTATGTATAATTTTTTTTTTTAATTTTCATTAGTGATACACCATGAGGTACAGTTGTAGACTTACAAATTTTGTGCTTGGGTTTCGATTATACAATGATCAAGTACCCATCCCTCCACCAGTGCCCATTTCCACCACCATGGATCCCAGTATTCCTCCCACCCCCCCATCCCACCCTGCCTCTGTGGCAGGGCATTCCCCTCTGTTCTCTCTTTCCTTTTGGGTGTTTGCAAAAGAGGCATTGAGTGGCAATCATGTTTGGTCTCTTGTCTACTTCGACATGCTTCTCCCATCCTGGGAGGATCCTCCCAGCACCCTTTCTTTGGTGCTCCCTTCTCTAGCTGAGCTGCCTTTCATGTGTCATCAACATGTTATTGGCATTTAGTCCTGTTTCTCCCACACAGGACTACTGATAGTAAAGAGATTTGTTATTAAACGGGAAGGTTACTATAAGAAATTGTGTATTTTCAAGTTTAGTTATTGATTTATTTGTTCACCCTTAAAATTTGGTAATATTTCATTAAAATGGGAAAGGAGATGGATTTGGAGGTGGGGAAGTTGGGCCATACCTGAAGGTGCTCAGACCTTACTCCTGGCTCTGTGCTCAGGGATCACTCCTGGTGCTGTTCAGAGGATCACTTGAAATGCTAAGCTTGAACTAGGGTTATAGACTGTGTAAGGCAAGCACCTTACCCCTGTGCTATCTCTGTGTCCCCGGGGAGATGGAATTTGAAAATTAGTCATTTTGTTGTAGTAGTCTCATGAGACAGGAAGATAGCTCGAAGGGCTGCAGCATATGTTTTGCATTCCGGAGCCCCCCCCCCCCCCCCATCCCTTGACCTCCAGAACACCACTGGGAGGGACACTGAACACTGCCCGATGGGGCCCAAAAAATAAAGCAAAAAGTTAATTTTGGGGGACATTCTGATACATGATACATATTGTGATGGGGTTTCATACCTATAACACACACCCCACACCCTGCCCCAGAGCACAGAGTTCCCTTCCCCCGTCTCCTCTCTTCCTCGCTTCCTCCTCCCCACACCTCTACCCCTCTATTCTCCATCATGGTCAACTCAGTTGTACAGACCAGCTTTCCATATATGAGAGAGTTATTCTGTATCTGTTCGTTTGTTTCTGACTTACTTGACTCAGCATGACAGTCTACACATCCATCCACATAACTGTAAGTTGCATTGTATCATTTTTCCTTATAAGTTGTATTCCACTGTGTATATGTATCAGGTTTTTTTTTATCCAATCATTTGTTCTTGGACACTTGGAGTGTTTCTGGATTTTGGCTATTGTGAATAGTGCTACAAGTGAACTTAAGGTACAAAGTCTTTTCTGAATAGTTTTTGGGCCCTCGGGATAAATGACAAGAAGCGGGATTTCTGAGTCATATGGAAGCTGAGAAGTGTCCAGTTGACATGTTTCCCCACATCCATGCCAACACTGTTTGTTTTTGTTCTTCAGTGTGTACCTTTCTCACTAGTGTGACATGATATCTTGTTGTTTTGATTTGCATCTCCCTGATGATAAATGATGCAGAGCAATTTTGCGTATACCTTTGTGTCTTTGAGGAAGTTTCTGTTCATCTCTTCCTCTCATTTTCTTAATCAGATTTTTTTTTCCTATCAGTGCTTTGTATATCTGGAATATTAACTCTTTGTCAGATGAGTGATGCACAAATATTTTCTCCCGGTCTGTAGCTGCCTTTATTCTGGTCATTGTTTCTTTTTGCAGAACAGAAGCTTCTTAGTTTGTTGTCACGGTCACGGTCCTCCCGTTGTTCATCGATTTGCTCGAGCAGGCCCAGTAACACCTCCATCATGAGACTTGTTGTTACTGTGTTTGGCCTATCGAGTACATCACAGGGAGTCTTATTTTTCATCTGTTTGCTTCTGTTTGCTTGGCCACAGAAGATGCACAAGATTTATGAATTCCAGACTGACTAACAAGCTTTTGCTTTGTTTTTTGTTTTTTGTTTTTTTTTTTTTGGCTTTTGATGCCACTCTCAGCAATGCTCCGGGGTTGCTACTGGCTTTGCACTCAGGAATTACTCCTGGTAGTGCTTATAGTGCTTATAGATCGTATTAGGATGCCGGGAATTGAACCCAAGTCGGTCATGTGAAGGCAAACACCCTACTTGCTGTATTACCTCTTTGGCCCTGATATCCTGATAAAGGTTTAATCTATTTCAATTTGACTTTTGTATATGGCATTAGAAGGGAGCTTGAGTTCCTTTTTTGCATGTGAGTGAGGAGTTTTCCCAGCAGACACTTTTTTGGTCCACTTAATAATACTTTTTCCTCTTTTGTCAAATATACCTGAGGATTGTCCATTGGTCTAAGAGTCTGTCTTTATTTCAGTACTATGTAGTTTTAATTTCTATAGCTTTGTAGCATAGTTTGAAGTTGAGGGGGGAGAGCGAGAGCGAGAGAGAGAGAGAGAGAGAGAGAAAGAGAGAGAGAGATCCACCTTTTTCCCCAAGCATTACTTTTTCTATTTAGGGCTGTTTATTACTCAGTAAAAATTTCAGTTGAGCTTGATTTATGTCTTTAAAATATCACAGTTTTTCTTTTTCCCCCCTAGAGACTAAATCAAATCTATATAATGCTTTTTTGCTGATACCCTTCCAATTCATGGACTGGGTGTATTTTTATTTGCTTACACCCTCTTTTCTTTTATTACTGGTTTATAGTTCTCCTTATATAAGTCTTTTGCCTCATATTAACCTTCGATTTATGCACATAGGATTTGTAGCCTGCCACTTGACATACAAGCCTTTTGCTTCTAGGAGCTTTTTGTTGTAGAGTCTTCTAGGTGTAGAGTTTCCTAGTTACCGGATCATGTCAGTCATAAATAGTGAGCATTCGGCTTCTTTGCTGATCTGAGTTTCCGTAATATTCCTTTCTTACCAAATTGCCATGACAAGCCATTCTTTCTTTTTTTGTTTTAATTTATTTATTTTGCTTTTTTATGGGTCATACCCAGTGATACTCAGGGATTCCTCCTGGCTCTGCACTCAGGAATTACTCCTGGCGGTGCTCAGGGGACCATACGGGATGCTGGGAATTGAACCCAGGTTGGCCATGTGCAAGGCAAACGCCCTACCTGCTGTACTATTGTTCTAGCCCCAAGCTATTACTTCTTAAAAAATAACTTTTCTCACACCCTGTCTCGTGGATCTCCTGCAACATAAATGTTCATTCATTTGATATTGTCGTTCAAATTCCTTAAACTGTGTGTGTGTGTGTGTGTGTGTGTGTGTGTGTGTGTAATCTGTGGGAGTCATAGTCACACATAATTCAAGGTGAAATTAAAGGGTGACTATCAGAAATTGAATGGCAGAGGTCAAACGCTGGAGAAATCATACGGTGAGTAGGGCGGTTGCCTTGCATGCGGCAGGCCCTGGTTCAGTTCCCAGCATTCCATAAGGTCCTCTGAGCCTCACCAGAGTAATTCCTGAGTATAACGCTGGGAGTAAGCCCTGAGCACCGTGGGGTGTGGTCACAAACAAAACAGTGTGCTCAGTGCTCAGGAGCTGTCCCTGACTCTGCTGTGAGTTGGGAGACTCACTGTAATAAGGATTGAACTTTGAGCTCTGTAACTTGCAAGGCCTTAAACCCCTGTATTATCTCTCTGGCTCCCGGGCAGGACTCTAGATATTAAAGTACTTTAATTTTCTTCTTATTTTGACTAACAAAAACAGAGAAGGAAAAGGAAAAAGCTTCCCTTACACCTGAAGTTGCACATATTTGTGGTTATCAGTGCTTCCACATTTGGTTTTGACTCTCACACACTTGGATGTGGTGCACTAGGGATCGTACTCGGTAATGTGGGACAGTACCCAGAATCAGACCTGCAGCGTATTACCCTCAAGATCTCTTTGACACAGAGTTCCATCTCTAACCCTTAAATATCTTTTTGAAAAAGAACTGTATTGTACCTTACTGCAAGTTTGCTTACTAAATTTTCTAATTTTGGACTGGGCCTCAGTTTTGTTTTGTTTTTTAATTTATTTATTTATTGAATCACTGTGGGAAAAGTTACAGAGCTTTCAGGTTTAGGTCTCGGTCATGCAAATATCAAACACATTTCCCTTTACCGATACTTATTTTTCACCACAAAGAACCCCAATAAACCCCCACCCCCCACCTCTCCCAATGCCTGTGAGGCAGATGAGTTCTAGTTAACACTCTATCTACTTTGACTAGATTCATTGTTTTGATAAAAGATGCACCCTTATTATTTAGAGTTTACACCCCCAAATCAGACATGCTGAAAAGGCATTGTGAAATGATTTGCTTTCTGCAGCTGGGTTCAAGAATTAAATGATGTCGCGCAGCCGCGGTTTTGGATTTCTGCTATTTTACTTATTAACCCTGGAAGTATTTCTGCTGAGAGTCAGATAATTAAGAAGAGATTGGTTTCTGTGCTCTGGAGCCATGGCCGTGCCGGAGAGCCGCTCGTGGGGGGCAACTCGTGACCTCGGTAGGGCGTGAAGGACGAGCTGGGAACGCCCCCCTTTATTAATAAAACTGAGGCCCAGGTTTTAGTCTGGGCCTCAGTTTTATTAATAAATTGTTGCCAGCAAACTGTTATCTGTACTCTGTTTTATTTATTTATTTTTTTGGTGTGCCGGGGGGGGGGGGGGGGGAGCAGAGGCTGGAGCGATAGCACAGCGGTAGGGCACGCAGCCAGCCCGGCTGACCCGAGTTCGATTCCTCCGCCCCTCTCGGAGAGCCCAGCAAGCTACCGAGAGTATTCGATATGCCAGACACAGTAACAACAAAGTCTCCAATGGAGACGTTACTGGGCCCGCTCGAGCAAATTGCTGAACAATGGGAGGACAGTGACTGTGTGTGTGTGTGTGTGTGTGTGTGCGCGCGCGTGTTGAAACAATTATAGTTTTAAATTCATTTTTTTTGTTATTTTTAAAAGAATATTCATGCTTTTATTTACTTCTGAACTCTCATACACTTTTCATTCCAGTTTTACATGATCTCAGTTTAAAGCTTGACATAAAAAGATTATGTTTTTATATAATGCATTGTTAACAGATTTTTAAAAACATCTTTTTATTGTAAATACAAAAGGAAGACATCAATTTACAACATTGAGGGATCATTTAGTACCCAATACTTGGGCAGTCTCATTCTCATAGCAATCAGAGCATTCCAAGTCAACTTATGTCATTGAATTTATGAATGAAAGCTTGCTTTTACATAACAGAAACAAATAATATGTCGAGTGCTCTGAAAATGTTTTGAATTCCTTTATATTTTATTTTTATTACAGATCTTGAAGAACATTTCTGTGTGAAAAGAATTTTTTCAGGTGGAGATCAAAGCTTTTCACATTACTCTAATCCCCAGGTAACTATAGTCAAATATAAAGCCCAAATAATTTTGAGGAATATTTTGAACTTGCGTTAATGTTCTTTGTTACAAAGCAGTAGGTTAATTTTTTTTTTCAAATGTACCAAACACAGTTTGTTTTATTTGTTAAGTGTTTAGTAGAAATTTACTTCTAGTGCAAAAACACAAGTTAGTGGTTAGTGGTATTACATTATATATAATAGCTCTTCTCTCTGACTAATCTACTTATTTTAAAATTTAGAACTGTGGACCACCAGATGACTTTAGATGTCCTGATCCTTCAAAGCAAATCTGGACTGTGAATGAAGCTCTAATTCAAAAATGGCTGAGCTACCCCTCTGGCAGGGTTCCTGTGGAGATAGCCAAGTAAAAAAACCCACACAATATTTTATTTACACACATACACACACACACAAAAAAAAAATCCCATAAGTTTTTATCTTAGCGGTAGAGCAACCTATGTTTGAGTTTTTATCTAAATAAATCATTCAGTATCATTCACTATTTTAAATACAGAAATTTGAATGCCTAAATTTTTAACTTGAATACCTAAAGTTTTTTTATAAGAATATTTTAAAGGTCTTGCATTTAAATGTATATGAGTTGTTACTTATATAATTATTAAATAACTTAATATTTTAAGTATAGTTATTTTAGGATTGGGTTAGAAATATGTTCCTTCTGACTTCATACTGGTCAGTGTATTTGAACTCATACTCCCTGGAAGATTAGAATAATACTGCTTACTTGAGTATATTGCCTACAGATTAACTTGTTTAATATGAAAGGGTTTTTGCTGATGGCTGTGGTAGTGTTTGGAATGAGCAACTGTTTGATCAGTTGTTTTTTATAGCTTGTTTTCCCAAACTAAGTTTTCTTTTTCTTGAAAGCTCAAAGATGAGACTTTAAATAGCAGACATTAGATATGCTTTGCATGCTACAGACCTGAGAATGATCCCTGGACCCCATATTTGTCCCCTGAGCACTGCTAGAGGTGATCCCTGGAAGTGATCCCTGAGCACAGAGCCAGGAGTAATCCCCGAGTACTGAGTACTGCTGGGGCTAAAAAAATAAATAAATTGCAGCCCAGATTAGATTTAACCACTTCCGTGGAATGAAAAAAAAAGTGCATGTTTATATAAAGGGTTTTGTTTTGGTTTTTTTTTGTTTGGGTTTTTTTTTTTTTTTTTCTTTTTGGTCATGTCCGGCGATGCTCAAGGGTTAAGTCCTGGTTCTGCACTTAGGAATTACTCCTGGCAGTGTTCAGGGGACCATATGGGATGCTAGAAATCGAACCCGGGTTGGCCACATGCAAGGCAAATGCCCTACCTGCTATGTTGTCACTCCAGCCCCTATAAAGAAAAAATTTTAAGAGCATTTGATTTGTTTGATAAATCGGGGGTTTAATATTTGAGAAAATGTAAATCGTAGTGCTTTTATCACAAGCTGATCTTTATTAATTTTTGGAATTCTGATTTTAATTATTTTGAATAGTTTTCTTTAGCTTTTTTGTTATAGTAAATATTTTAGTTTTTATTTAAAAGGATGTTAGTTTCTCATTTTGTTACTGGGAATTTTTTCTAATTCTTCTAGTGAAATAGATGGGACGTTTTCTTCTTCTGGCTGCCTAAATGGAAGTTTTTTAGCTATTAGGTAAGTGGCAATACTTTGTTATGCTGAATTTTCTAATTCATCATATTAAATATATGTTAAATCAGAAATGAAATTATTTTAAATCTTTATTGTTTTCTCTGCCTCTTTTTTTCCCAAGTAATGATGATCATTATAGGACAGGAACCAGATTTTCAGGAGTTGATATGAATGCTGCTAGACTTTTATTTCACAAACTTATACAGCCTGATCATCCTCAGATATCTCAACAGGTTTGTTTTTGAAGCTTTTGGTTTTTTGTTTTTTATTTCATCTGTTACTTTGATGTACCTAATAGCCTAATTATAGTTTCATACTTTTTCTTAGATGTGTATGATGTGATTTTAAATATACTAATGAATTATAATAAGGTTTTGCTTAAAGTATATATAAATCTTGCTAGATTGTAGAAGTAGATGTTATGTTTAATATTAACATGTTGGTTAAGTATGTAGTTATCACAGTAGAGAGTTTAAATGAAGACCTGCACACAAGATTTTTTTAAATTGTTTTAAGATGATTTTTGGCATTCTTATTATCTTTTTAAGTGCATTAATTCATTTCTTGTAAGATACTTTTTTTTTCCCAAATCACATTTGCTGTAGTATCAGTTTTTCTCTCTTTTCCGAAAAGTACATTCATTTTAAATGAAGTAGGTTTTACTTTTTGTCAAAATATAGGTGGCAGCTAGTTTGGAAAAGAATCTTATTCCTAAACTGACTAGCTCCTTACCTGATGTTGAAGCACTGAGGTTTTATCTTACTCTACCAGAATGTCCCCTGATGAGTGATTCCAACAATTTCACAACAATAGCAATTCCCTTTGGTACAGCTCTTGTGAATCTAGAAAAAGCACCACTGAAAGTACTTGGTAAGCATTTTAATGTTTTTTTTCTAATTTAATAGAAGTTTTTACTTTTTTCGTCATTTGAAATTTTGCTACCCAGATTATTTTGCATTTCCTAGGATAAAGTAAACCTCTTTTTCCTTTTGTTGCTTTTTTCTATTTATCTGATGCTAGTTGTTGCAGGAAGGGCATGTTAAATATTAAAACTATAATTGAATACAACAGCAGAAAAAACATTAGAAAAGAGAAAACATTTTCCTCTCACTTGAGTCCCTCTAGAGCGGTCATGCTATTAGAGGAGGTGTATTTCAAACTGAACAAGCATGGGTATTGAGTCCTTCTTAAACTCTATTAACTGTGCCTTGTATTTTCTCTACTTGCTAATTTCACGATGATTTTGCTTTCTCTGCATATAGAGGAGATTGTCCTCATGTGACTGTACAAAGTTCTGTCTCTCTCTGCTCTGATTTTTTCACCTTTGATTTTTCCTCTCTATACATTTTCTACTTCTGCATTTCTTTTCTAACTCTTGGCCTTTATAGTTATAGATGGTTTAACGACATTTATCCAACTGCTTTTCTTTCTAATTTGTAACTGTATTTCTATTCAGATATATAGAAATAATAGAATCAGTATAAAATATTCCAGGCTAAGGATGACCAGAACAAACTAGCAAATGGTAGAATTGTGGAATTTGAGGGAATTAGACAGCTATTGAAGTGTGAAGTAAAAACACAAAAGGGTTTGTGTTTTTGTCAAAATTTTTTTTTCTACTTCATAGAATTGTTGTATTTAGGTTTACTGGTCTCAGAGAGTGAATGTGGGAAAGGACAGAAGACATTATCCTTTATATTTATTATACAGATTCTGTATTCGAATTTCAGTAGTATTGCGTTTTAAAGGTTCCTAACAATGTTTTAACTTTTTGCAAAATTGAAAGTAAAACTTGAAGAGATCCTTACTTAAGAGTATTTGAGCAATATTTTAAAGTTTTATTTAAATAGTAAAAATTTAATTTCAAAAACTTTTTTAGTAGCTGGTTTCCATAATGGTCGTAACTGGTGAGTTTTTAATATAATTGAAGAAACCAAGATTATAAATTGAATAAATATGTATATTTGCTTTTGAGAGTTTTGGAATAGCATTCTTTAACTTGAGGCTGGGACAAAGTCTCTAAACCCTAGAAATGTTACATAAAGTTTTGTGTATGTGTATTTTCCTAGACTTTTCAAAGGATTAAAAGCCACTGCTTTAGAAGCAAAGTCAGTGTGATTTTGAAAATTGTGATTTTTAAAAATTCATTTTATTTGCATGTTCACCCTTTAATAACAGAAAACTGGTGGTCAGTACTTGAACCTCCACTATTCCTCAAGATAGTAGAACTTTTTAAGGAAGTTGTGGTACATCTTTTGAAACTCTACAAGATCGGCATTCCCCCTTCTGAAAGAAGAATTTTCAACAGTTTTCTTCATACTGCATTAAAGGTTTTAGAAATATTGCATAGGGTATGTCCAATAGTTCCTTTATTTTTCCTCTTTCCCCATTGCTACTAATAGATTGATTTGTGTATTTTAACATTAATATAATATAGATTTAAAATCGTATAAAATATAATTACATAGGAACTTGGGGAAAATATCTAAATTTTCTTTAAAAGAAATAATTTATAGTTTTGAGCTTTGTTCTTATTTGACTCTGGCCTTGTTTGGACTTTCTATAGTCGGGCAGAACAATAGCATACTAATGAGTTAGAAATCGTATATTTTATTGTGAAGCACCTAATTTGTCATTGTAAATAATGTTTTTTGGTTATGAGAGTACTTCCCAGTTTTGACTGTGACCATTTAAAACTCACGTTCTTTTGCTATTAACTACTGACTTTAATCAAAATAGAGCAATTAATTTGAGACAATTAGTCATTGTTGACTTCACTAGAAATTGGAACCATATATAATTCATTAATATGCCTATTGTTCTTTCCTGCCCTTCTTCCCAGTGTAAGAAATAGTACCTTTTACACACTTTGTAGCAGTTCAAAGTTACATGAAGAAGTAGAGTCTCAACTGTTCATTAAAGATGGATTTGAGACATCCCTGACAGCTGGTAGGTATATTTCAGTTGTGCCATTTGGTATCTTGAGATACTATTTTGGGAGACATGACCTAAGGGAGAAGCATGTTATTAGCCACTGGAATAACTGAAAATCCATATGAATCCATAATCTCAGTTTCTGCTCCTTTTGGCTTCTTTAGTCTTTTTACTTTAGTATCTTGCCTAGTAAATAAAGTTAATGATAATCAAGAAGTATATGATAATTAGACAAAAAAAGAGTCCTTTCATGTAATAAAGAATCCTTGTGAATTATTTATTTTTCTTTTTATTCTTTTTGGGGGTTCCTATGCATTTTCTCAACTACTTTTTTTTATTTTTATTTTTATTAGTGAGACATCATGAGGTACAATTGTAGACTTACAAATTTTGTGCTTGGATTTCAATTATACAATGATCAAATACCCAACCCTCCACCAGTGCCCATTTTCCACCACCACGGGTCCCAGTATCCCTCCCATCCCCCATCCCCCCCATCCCACCCTGCCTCTGTGGCAAGTCATTGCCTTTTATTCTCTCTCTCCTTTCGGGGTTTGCAAAAGAGGCATTGAGTGGCAATCATGTTTGGTCTATAGTCTACTTTCCGCATGCTTCTCCCATCCTGGGAGGATCCTCCCAACACCCTTTATTTCTTGATCTTAAACTGTTTTCTTTTTATTATCTCTAACAATCCTAGAAAAGCAAGCCATTTCTTTCCTCATTGAAACTGAAGAAATGAAAGATCTTTCTTTCCTGAGGAAATAGTTCAATTCTTATTTTTAGCCTTCTAGAACATGATTTGCTGTAGCATTTTATGATTAACTGAACTCTGCAGTAACTATTAGTAAAAATTCTCTAATGGAAAGATAGCCCAAAGGGTTAAAGCACCTACTTCACATGTGGGAACCTTGGGTTTGATCCCAGAGCTGCATTGCCCCCTGAGCAAATACATAAAGCAAGCAAGCAAAGATTCTTTACTTTGATGACAAGTATTTCTCCTCTTCTGTGTACCTGAGGTGTAAGAGTCAAGGGATTAGTTAGACCTTTTTTTTCCTCTTCTCTGTACCTACTGAGCAGTCTATACCCAATTCCTAAAGTTACTCAGTACTCTCCCTTTCTCCCGTGTCTGCTTCTGTTATTTCTTTTTCCCTTCTTTCAGTTGATTTGCCACAAATGAATGGGAAGATGAGAATAAATTGACCTTATGTTTACACATTTAATCTCATTTTTTAACAGACAGAACGTTAGCAAGTAACTTCCTATGTCAAAACCTTGGCCTTTAGGAGGAAGAATCCATGGAATTCTATCTCCAGAAATCTTTTTTGCTAGGCCCACCCATGCTAAGTATGTTAGTTTTTTGCAACGTAAAGAAAAGGATAAATAATCTAGCATTTATTGCTTTTTGGTAGCTACAATTAGATCTGCCCTTATACATAAATTCATGTGAATCCTTTGCATTTATTTCTCGTTTAACCTTTTTAACTGCAAAATTTATATTTTGCCCCCCATGTAGTCTGGAAAATGAATCTCAGTGTCAAAGGTCATAATTAAGTAGCAAAATTGAAATACAAATCTCCTCCGATCTGCTGTTTCTGTATGCTTTTACAGCAGCAGATACTATAGTTTACATTTTAATAGGGGTTTTATGTTATTATAATGCTTCCACAATTATATATAGCATCATATTTTTTAAAACTTTTAAAAACCATTTGCTGCTTCCTATCTGTGAATTTGAATAAGTCTTTTATCTCATGCAAATGAAGAGTTACCATGACATAAGATTAAAACACTGGCCTCGGACTGCTGATATATTTCAGATTATATCTTAATAAGGCTGTGGATTTATTATCACACCACCACTTGGATAGGAACTGCCGCTTTTAACTTGATTTATTGATTTTATAAGGAGTGTAAATTCTATTTATTAAAGCAGGACGATAATGGTATAGAAGTTCTTTTTGTTGTTGTTCAGTTTTTATTTTGGGGCCACACCCATCAGTGCTCAAGAGTTACTCCTGGTGGTGCTTGGGGGACCATATGGGATGCAGGAGAATGGAACCTGGGTCAGCCGCATGCAAGGCAAGTGCCCTACCTGCTGTACTATCATTCTAGTCCCAATGGTATCCATTTTTTAAGCATCTGTTACTGGGAGTCCTTAGGGTAGTTGGTTATTTTTTTTTTTTTTACTTCGGAGAAAAATTTCCCTGGTTTTAATCTGCCATAAATTCTCGTATGTACATATTTTTAATTCAGGCATGATTCATTTTCTATTTAGTGAAACACAATTGCTTACCAAATGTTTGGGGTTTTTTGTTTTGTTTTGTTTTGTTTTCTTCAATGACTTTTAGGACTTAAAGCTGTATATTTCACTTTTCTTTACTCCCTGGTCAGAAATAGGGAAATTCCCTTTGTGACCTATTCCTGGAGCAAGATTAGAAACTAGAGAATTGGATTCTAGTTCCTAATCATTTCAGGATTTATGGATAATTTGTTCCTCCCTTATGTCATGTCCTTTGGAAAGATTTTGGATAAAAAAACCATTTTTAGTGCTCCAAATGGCATCATTTCAGTACCTGCTGTCAGGAATGGATATATTACCAGGATTTGTTGGCTAGTATTTTCTGAGTTTCTGTAGTATACTATAGAGATAGTGATAGGATGAAGAAAACACTTGCTAACCTAACTAGCGTAATTGCTACATGTTACGCTAATCTTCTGAATTGCAGTGGATTGCAAGCTTTTTGGCAAGGAACCCTTGAATAAACACAACAAATGAGATAACATATTCTAATAACCTCTGAACTAAGGTTTTTAAACTAGATTACTAAACTGATTAAAATGTGAATTTAGTGTTATGACCAAGTAGGTTTTATTTTGTACATTTTGCGCGTTAATATTAAATGTCTAGGTTGTTTTCGCTTCTACCATGTGATTTTATTTTGTTTTCATTTTACAAATATTTACTGAGTGCCTACTATGTGCTTATCAATGTATTTTAAAGCCTAAGTATAGTCAATGATAAGGAAAAGTGTTTTCTGACCTTGTTAAGATTAAAAATGTAGAATGATTGTATACATACAAGTAAATAAGCACTTGTGATAATAGCATGGTAAGTTCTTAAGAGTAGAGAAATTAGGAGGGTGTTATGAAAACAAATAACATGATGGTGACATGTAAATCAGAAGGATTCAAGAAGGCTGCCTGAAGAAACTATCTTCCATACAAATGTATTTTTATGTGTTTTTAAAAATCTCATATATCAGTCTGTATGCTATTGAACTGATTTTCTATTTGGTGGCTATTCTCCCTATCTTTGAAAGCAGTGTTAACTGATTTTTCTCTTTAGTTATTAAATCATTGCAGCTGATTTAGCTGTAGTTTCCCTCCAAATTTCAGTGTGAAATTTGTCTGTTTCTGAGTGAAACTTGTCTTGTGAAATGTTATTTTTTATTCTAATAGTCTCTTCTCAAAAACTTGACACAGTTGCTGTTGGGGAAGGAATTATAATTTACCTTTTTTTTAAAAAATAAAATTATTGACTCATGGTGAATTACAACGTTATTCGTGATGCAGTTTCAGGCATACAATATTCCAACACCAATCCCTTCACCACTGTCCACCTCCCTCCACAAATTTCCCCATTTCCCTCCCATACCCACCCACCCCCCTGTACAACTTACCTTTTAAAATCTTAAATATTTTGCAGAACATAGCTCTCAGTGATCGAGTGCTTGCCCTGAATTTGATTCCTGGTGTGCACCCCCCCCCCCCACTACACCGCCCCTCTTCCCCCACCACCACACACCAGCTATTTAAGACGGTAAAAAGAGGTTACCATAGGGCACGCATGAGTCATTTACTACAAGTCTCTAACTTTCAGAATTCAATAAGCATGATGTTTATAAACATAAATTCTAGAAAGGGAAAATACTCTAAGAATTTTATCTAAAGTGTAACAATTTTAGTAGAAAGTTTAAAAACTTGAACAAGAGTCTATAGACTTTTTCTGTAATGTGATGTATATTAAATGTTTTGTAAGCCATGTGGATTTTTTTTTGAACTGTTCAACTCTCATCTTGTAGCTGTGTATGGTGTATATAAATGGTGACATTGACTGTTTCCTAATAAAAGTTTATTTATAAAATAGTCTATGGGCAGAATTTAGCCCACAGGCTCAGCAATAAGTTTTTCAGTTTGTTTATAAATTTTAAGTATCTTTATTTTCTTTGAAAGCAAGGAATAATAGTTTACTCTGCTTGGTTTCTTCAAATAGATACCTTGACCAGAAATTTAGGGGCCAGGTTGATAGTGCTGGGGGAGGATGCTTGCTTTCCACACAGCTGACCTGGATGCTACCCTGGCCCTGCAAGGAGTGATCCCTAAGCATTGCCAGGTGTGAGTCCTAAACAAACAAAAA